TCCATTCTCCTTTTGTCGTCTGAATAATACTACACTGAATTCAATACAATTATTGGAATCAATCCTCCACGTATTAATGACTTCCTGTTACTTTATGCTATCCCTTATTTCGATACTAGCATTATAACGAATGACAATATGCAGTGTCAGTGGGGAAGCTATGGGAGACGGGGAGTGTGTCCCTCATTGAATAGCGTACATACGAGAGAGAGGGAGGGAGAGAGAGAGAGAGGAAGACAGAGAGAGAGAGAATGAGAGAGAGAAAGTGAGAGAGGGGGAGAGAGACAGAGAGTGAGAGAGAGAGAGAGAGAGAGAGCAGGGAGGGGGAGACAGAGAGAGTGATAGAGAGAGAAAGAGTGAAAGAGAGAGAGAGAGAGAGAGAGAGAAAGAGAGGGAGAGAGAGAGAGAGTGAGAGAAGGGCGAGGAAGATATATATACGAGCCTACGAGGGGAACGATCAAAATGAAAAGGGGAACGACAACATGACAAGGAAACGTAAAAATAACCCCGTCCTCTCAAACTAAGGCTGTGTCCACTCGCACATAAAATATGTCGTGACGCCCTCCCCTCTCCAATGCTGCCAGTTTCCTGGATCCACCCTACGTGCCTACAGTATAAACACTTACGAAGTTTAATTAATTCAAATTGATTTATTCCAATTTTAAGTACCACGATTGAAAAGAAATAGCTCTCGGTTTATAGCTATTAATAATTGTTTTAAACACGTCCATTTATTTCCTGATCTCAGTTTAAACATGGCGTACATAATATTGCTGCTTGCACTGTCCGATTTTGTAGGCGCTTTGAATCAATCCGAAATAGGCGAGAACACGGAAACAAATTGCAATAGCATTGGAAGTGCAAATTGGGCATCGGCAGGTATTAATGTTCACGTTTACTTTATGATTTTGTTTGTGTGTGTGTGTAGTTCGTTGAACTCTTGAAGTGAGATTTTAGTTCAGTGTCCGGCAAAATGTCATGCTGGATATAATGTTAAAGATTACTTGTATACAAAGACGTCATTTGGATTAATGGCAACAGGTAGATTCGTGGTTAGTACCCCCAAAATAGGAGAAATTGAACATAAAATCAGATTGTACAAGAAATGTTATGTTATCTTATGTTATGTTATGAAAATTGTGAAATATTGACGGCTCAAGACAGACAATTATTAGTAGAGTGATTTTTACATGAAGGTGTTCTCCATGTACAGGTTCCTCCAACGCATTTTTCAATGTATCTCTACATTCAAGGAAAACTGAAAATGTGGTCTTTATAGGCAGGGGGTCTTTCGATCCAGGTGGTCTCTAAAACAGGTTTGCACTGTACGTGGTGAATACAATTGATAAATGAATAATGACATTGTTGATCTTTATCAATAACATCCTTCATTTTGGTCTTAAATTATCGTCATTAATATTGTTGTTAATTCTTGCAGTTTTATTTTTATAATTACCTTTATCATTATCAACATTATTGACAAACATATTATGGCTGTTAAGATTTTTTTTTTTTTGGGGGGGGGGGGGGGCACGGGAGCCATACGGCGGGGACAGGAGTAGAGGATAAAATAAGAAAATAAGAAAACCTTGAATGGGGAGGGCCCCGTGGGAAATAGTCATATCTTTTACTTTTCACGTTGTCTTCCCCTTTTGGTTTCAGAACCTTCTCTTTAATTTGTAATTTTTTTGTTTTATTGGGGGAAGGGGAGAGGGCGCGTGCCCTCGTGCCTCTCCGTAGCTACGCCACTACTTGATCGATTTTTTAATTTAGGCCAGTCTAAAACCACTCCATGACGAAGGGTTTATCTTTTGTACAACATCTGTGTCCATGATACAACTAAGACTTTCAAGAATTCAACTTAAGAGCAGTTTGCCATACCTTACTGTAGTGTTCACGTTTTTCAAAAGGTGACGGACAGAGCTATTGAAATTATTTAAAGTGATACTGAACTGATGAGCTCTCTGGTCTAGCGTAATATTACACAGCACCATCTCATATTGAACTTGCCCACAGTGTGTATCCCTGAATGATTTCCACTTTGCAGACAGAGTACTCAATACGAGAACCAAGAGCGCAGCTAGGGAAGCAGCGAGTTACGGTGATTTTGCGGTAGTGCTTGTAGTACAGTATGGCCTCAAGATGAATTTTTAAGAGTCTTTGCGACCCTTTTCTAAATGTTTAAATTTGTTCTTTGGTTTAGATTTACTCTACATCGGGTGTTACGAGCGAGATTGCTTCCAGGACAACATTTCTTTTACCATAATCAGCATCAACGGATGTACCGGATCTTGCAGACATGAATCATATCAGTACGCTGCTTTAGAATTTGGTAGTACCTGTTACTGCGGGAACTTCACGTGCGCCGATAAACAATCTGAGAAGCAAAAATGTAATAGTTTTTGCGGTGTACAGTGTGCCCTTGAAAATGGACAATTCTTGCCTTGCGGTGGAATCGGATTCATTCAAGTTTACATGGGTAAATATTGTTAAAATTATACAATTATACACTGTCTTGAGAGGTTCTGGTTAAAACTATGGGCAAGAGGTGACTCCAATAGTACTATTGGAGCCCCCCCCCCCCCCAAAAAAAAGAGGAAAAAAAATATCCGGGTCGGAGGGAACGCATGCCTGTTCCCAAAATCTCTTAGCGGAACCTCAGCTTGTTGGTAGAATAATTATTTCAAAATCCACATTTAGTATGGAAAAAAACAAAAAACAAACGTTGCTGATGGATACTTTGTCTGATCGGTTGCATCGAACGCCATTTCCAACCATTGGCATCACTACACTAATTTCAATAGAAAAAAGGGGGAGAGAGGGGTGGGGACAAAATCTTAACATAGACTGATTAGAAAAATACATCATTTTGGAGATTATTTAGACATAATAGCCTAAATAGTCCTGAGAAATCTAACATTGTGTCTTAAATTCAAAATAAACTTTTCCTCACTTTTTCTTTCAGATTTCGCTTTAGCACAGCCCCAACTATCAACGAGCACGGATTATAAAGTAAGCCATATTTCCACCGACAGGCAGTATGTTAAACCAACGCTGATCATGGTGACCAAGACCATGGGCCAGAGAGACACAAAGACTACCACTATCGTCGGTATTACTCTAGGAGTAGTGGTAATCCTGTTATGCGTGGCCCCTGTGATAATCTACTTGCAGCATACACGAAGATTCAGAGCGATGATGATGCAAAACCAGATTCAGTTGCATGCTGTTCAGGTCGCAGGGTCGAAGGAGGTTCAGGGCGTGGCCGCCTACCAGAGTTTACACGCCCCACCTCTTCTTCCAGGCGAAATCAAGATGTCGACATCATCCGGATGTAAACATTCTGATCCGTCTCCACGGGCAACGAGTGTTGACCGCATGAGCATTGAAGATGGTTACGAAAAACCTTTTTCGTCAATGGATGTTAATGACACAGTAGTTGAAAACGACGATGGTGATGATGAAGGTGGTGATGATAAAGATCGTGGTGATATTGGTGGCAATGATGACGATGGAGGTAGGGGCGATGGTGATAATGATGGAGACGATGACACCCACAACTACACATATATTACGCGATCACATTCCCCTAGAGAACATGATCTGGACTATGATGGTTATCTTTGCCCGTCTTAAGAGCTGTGAGATTGGTGAGACGAGGGACCGACCCATGACTTTTGTATTAAGAACAATGACAATGATAATACTATGGGAAGGTCCAATCTATTAATGTTTGCTCCACACGTTACCGACCACATCGCTGATTCAGTATATTTGATGATAACAAGAAATTGAAAGTTCTATTAGAGCTTCGGTGAGACCAATATTATAGCTTCAAATGTTACGTTTAATGTAAAATCTTGTTAGTAATTCCTTTATAGTTGGTTACGTATGGGTTTGAGAAAGGGAGAGATAGGAATGGATGGATAGCAACAAAAAAAATCACAGAAGTATCAATAACAATAGTACTTCAATCATAATGCAAAACATACTTTATTATGAAATGAATTATTTTATTCTGGTAATTATGATTCACCACAAAATAATGTAAGGTTTTATATTCCCCCTAACATAATAGTCAACAATAAAGAAATTATTACATAAGGAAAACGATAACTTGCAATTAAGGGCTACAGTGTTTATGTAAACATTATTTATGATGGTTCTCAATACTGCAAAAAGTTTACCAGTTTAAAGCAATTTTTCCTGGACAATCTCAGTCAATTTCTTAAACATTGCAACATGTAACAAAATGTAGGATTTTTCGTTATTCAATTAGTCATTAATCATACTATATATTCATACACTTCATTTTGGATGCGGAGTACATGTATCACCAGAAATCTTATACGGCATTTTTGTGTTACAAAGAGAAGAAACTTGATGCTAACAAGCAGTTTATCTCTTTCACCGAGCTAAATGAAATTTAGAGCTACATTTTTATCAGGATAAAACAAGTTAAAGGAAAGGTTACTTTAAGAGCCAATTTAGGCCAACGGGCGACATTGCATTCTGTGAAGATAATGTGTACATCAGTTATGGCAGCGTTAGGTGAGCCAAGGTCACGCACTGGTTTCCATTTGCTCCTACCTAGGCCCCGTTTCCTACAAATCTATCATCAATAAGACATTTTTATAACATTTCTCTAAGAAATTTGCTACAACCAATCAAATGGAAGTATTTTAGTACCTTATTATAACATTTATCGTAATTTGTTATTGATGACAAGTTTTGTGAAACATGGCCCAGTAGCAGATGCAGGATGGGAGGGGGAGGTTGTACAGGCGATAAGTACACATCGAGAACGAACAGACAACGCGCCCTCTTGTGCTCATCTACTATAATTCTAAGCCCCATAGAGCATTTGGAAAATAAATAACTGAGACACCCTAAATGTGATAGACTTTTTTTGTATGCTTGTCAGAAAATATTGGAGCGAAAAGACGCCCACAATTATTTTGTTTTGCCATATTTCGTTCTATTTTCTTTTCATTCATTTCTTTTCTTCTGATTTGTTTCTTCTTATTTTCTAATTTCCGCCTGTCAGAATATTTTCTGTTTTGTGCCCCTTCCTCTAGCCAGAAGATTCCGGTCCGCCACTGCCCCCCTCCCACAAATCCATAGAATAATTATCGTTTATATTTATTTATTATTTATATTTATTATAACCACATGCCCAGCTTCATATTACATAACCATGCTTCCCCCATTTCTCTTGGCGTATTCCTCTTGGAGGTTTACACCACCGAGAATCTTCTCCTTCTTCTGCCGCATCTCATCCGTCTGCTTCATCTGGAACGCCTGTCCCTTCTTGGTAGAATCGCTACGGAGGATGTTGGACTTGATATAGAACGGGTGAGCGGATGCAGACGGTGCTTCCTCCGCACCGTGCCGGCGCAACATGTCCACCCGAACTGTTGGTATTACAAACAATATAACATACGATCGCAAATAGTTTCAAGAAATCAACTGTGAACACGATTGCAACTACAGTATTTTCAAAATATCAACTTAATGGCAATTTCAGCATTGTATATCCCATTACGTATCATGTTATTATCGTATTCGCACATTGCAATAGCAGCCGAGCAAGGTCACTGAAATCTCCTTAGGTTGCTTTTCCAAAAGTGGTTGCTTTCGTGTACAGAGGAAATTTTAATAGCCTTGGCCTTCACGGTTTAAATGGGCAAATATTACCGTGACGTATTACGTATTCAAAGCGAGCTTGGTTTTTCTGGCATAGGGTACTGAAATCTCCCTTGAGTTGAGATTTCGAAAGTCTGTTAAAATCACATTGATTCTAAACTCCAAAAAGGAAATTGAAATATGACATGACAATGCGTTCAATGAGTCTACATCTAACATAGATTTCACTAACAAAATACATGTACAAGAAAATTAACCATTCAGATTATACTTTTTTCATAATATAAACCAATTTTCTTCAAGTTTTGAAGAATGCTGGTAATGAATAAACGTTGACGTTACTTTGCAAAGGATTATAGCAGAAATTTGTTCTGCTATCACTTCTTATTCTTATCTTATCTTATGCATATATTTATATGTATGTATATATATATACATACTACAAAATTATATAGGCCAATACAATATTTTGGAAATCAATACAGAATTGGGGGATATTAAAATGACGGAATAAGGGTGTGTAGCTTGGTCACAGTTTACAGATTCTGTGCTCCCTTTTTGGAATGGTGAGTTCTTTTTAGCGCTTATGTCTGTCAGACTTGACTCTCGCGCCGCTCCACAAGACATATAGGCTTTAGCATGGGTGCCATTGTGGCGCTCTAGCATTTCAAGGGATTAATTCCTGCGAGTCGCCAACATTAACCTCACTTGGATAGAGTGTGGGAAATGTAGATTAATGTCTTGCTATACGACTTAAGTGCCACAGCAGGACTCGAACCGTGAAGCATGTGACCCACAGTCCGAGGACGTATCCAGTATCCACCAGACCACATCTCCAAAATTGCAATACAATGAAATAGCAAACATTATATTTAAAAATATTTATAATGGGGAACTTTGAGAGCTTCGCAAGATCATTCTTTCATGTTCACTTCTCGCAATTACAGTATATACATATATTTGTCATACACACACACGCCTACCCCTCCTCCAACACACACACACACACACACACACACACACACACATATCTTAGCATGATATATTACCTGTGTCTCCTGGTCCCGTATGGACGTGTGCGGACTTCTCATTACTGTCCTGAGAGCCAACAGGTGGTGACCACGCTGAAATTAATCCCAGCAACAGCAACAGGGTACACTGAATGCCCTTCATCGTCTATTATTATGAAATAGAGAAAAAGCATACTAATTGGAGTTTATTCTTTTGTGCAGAAAAAAAATCAATTACCGAACAGAGCGTTTTCAGTGTGTCGCAACAAGCAATGTTGATGCTGTTTCAGGCAGATAATTATAAACCGTTTAGAAAAATCCAACCAACAAAAAGCTCATTTACCAATGGTTTTGAATATGCCTTAACCCTATTTAGCCCGGGGGGGGGGGGGGGCTTGAGAAGCCCCCCCCTCGACATTTTTCGCGATAATTTTTTAACGCAAGAAAATCTTGCACTGAAATTTTGTGACTTTTTTCTTTCGAGTCTTGCGCAACTTTTGAAAGAAATTTTTCGAAAATCGGACCTACCATTACAAAGTCACGCGTCCTTTTGTCTTCGCATGTCAGCCCGAAATCGCTCATTTTTGTGATTTGTGTACAAAACATATGGAAATCTCATTTTTCAAATAAAGAGGTAAAACATTGGTTATTTGGTCTTGTTTAGATTTTAGGTGTTTATTTTGGGGTCAAAATAGTTGAATTATAGTTGGAAATGAAATAAAACAACAAAAACAATAAAATACATAAGTTGAAAAAACAAAGAAATACATAAGAAATTATCAAAACAATAGATAACATAAGGAATAACCCTGGTTTTTCAAATTTTTGTGTTGTATTATTATTCCAAATGGTCTAACAAATATATGTAGTGAGAAAGAATGCTTAAATATGAATAATGTCTGATTTATGGGCAAAAATATGAATTTAATGACCTTATTTGCATAAATTACCATAAATATGCAAATGAGTGAATTTTTCAAAAAAATTGAAATTACCATAGTATTCTATACACTTCACTTGACATGTATGCAAATTTTCGCGGCGATCGGGCGTTTCACGGCCGAGATCACAGGGGGGGGGGGGGGCCTGAGAAGCCCCCCCCTGGGCTATGCAGTTTCAAAATAGCCCGGGCTAAATAGGGTTAATTTGTCAATTAATTTCGAATTCACTTCTCAGCAAATGCAGATTCATAATTTGTAGGCCAATGACACAATTATATTTTTATGTCTACCTTGATTCTAGTAATCTAAACTAACACAATCATTCGTAATTGGTATTATAAAAGAATAATCCGATTCTAAAAGATGACAGAAAGAGGTTACAGCGAGAGAGAGAGAGAGAGAGAGAGAGAGAGGGAGAGAGAGAGGGAGAGAGAGAGAGAGGGAGAGAGAGAGAGAGAGAGATGGAGATACAGGGAGCGAGTGATAGGAGGATGTTACTATATAGGATTTCAGAAATAGAGAGCATGGTGTTGGATAAGGGAGGAGGAGGGTAATAGAACAGTGTAGAGAAGAAAGAAAAGACAAGAGAGAAAAAGAGAGCAAGATAGTGCCATACTCTGAGAAAGTGAATGACTTTAAAGAAAATATAAGGGAGAGTGGACAAAGGAGGTAGGTAGAGAGATAGGAGAGAGAGAGAGAGAGAGAGAGAGAGAGAGAGAGAGAGAAGGAGAGAGAGAGAGAGAGAGAGAGAGAAGAGAGAGAGAGACAGAGAGAAAGAGAGAGAGAGAGAGAGAGAGAAAGAGAGAGAGAGAGAAGGAGAGAGAGAGAGAGAGAGAGAGAAAGAGAGAGAGAGAGAAGGAGAGAGAGAGAGAGAGAGAGAGACAGAGAGAAAGAGAGAGAGAGAGAGAGAGAAAGAGAGAGAGAGAGAAGGAGAGAGAGAGAGAGAGAGAGAGAGAGAGAGAGAGGAGAAAGAGAGAGAGAGAGAGAGAGAGAGAGAAGAGAGAGAGAGAGAGAGAGCCAGAAACGTCATGCATAGGAATGTTTTCAAGAAGATTTCTAAAAAGTAGTGTAATGGTAAAGTATCATTCACCATTAAAATTTGAAAAAAGTCATTTTTTTTAACGACTAACGAGACACTGGAGCATGGAGAAACATGAAATGACGAGCTGATAATTTCATCAGAAATGTATTTAATTGGAAACAAAAACTTGGCCAATTCATAATAGACATCTAAAACTTATATTAATTCCATATGAAAAAATAATTACTTCAGCCTGATGAAATTGATGAACCATATTAATTTTGATGATCTGGTGAACTGCATGACATAAATCACATAAAGCTAGTCTTTACGGTGTCACTCGAGGGTCCTTTTTAGTTAATTTATCATTCAGAAAATGAAACTAACGCGTCAGTAAAAGTTTGCCGACATACCATAGGAAGCGTTATGGCTCAGCGGTAGAATTTCTGTTACTCGGAACCAAAACGTTGTCAAAAATAAAAAATAAAAGTAGCGATGCAACTCATATTTAACAATAATAACGCAAACGACAGTAGTAATAATAACAAAATTGAGGTAATATCTTACATTATGTTGAAGATGTCTATTTTCCAGAGATATATTTCCAGTAGATTCCTGTAAACGAAGTTCCTTGTAATATTATAATCAGAGCAGAATGAAATTTATATTTTAAATCACGACTGTTTGGGCGTAGTAGTAGGTGGCTATTGGATCAATTATTGACGATCTTTGGTTTCAAGCGAAACACATCATCACGCGGGAATAGAATAAAAAACAACATCTGGCGCAAATTCTATTACTCAGCATAAAGGGGGTGTGAAATTTTTTTCTTCTCCAAATCAAAGGATACTGACAGCGATTCTATTTTCAAAGGATTACAACACACACAAATATCCACTCTCCAATTCTCTTTCTCCCTAACTTTCTCTCAACTTATATATCTTTCTTCTCTGTCACTAGGCGTTGTCACACAGAAAAATCCCTTAAAAAATCCCTTGAAAAATCCTTTCAAGGGAGAATTTTCTTGCTTTGTTAGAGGATTTTAAATGGGATAATTGATGACACACAGCAATTACGAGGATAACTAAAATCCGGATTTTTGGCCTCTTTGTGACAACGCCTTATGTCTCTCCCCCCCCCCCTCTATCTCTCGACTCTCTCTTGCGCGCTTTATTTTACCCTCTCTCTTAGTCCCTCTATATCACACAGATTATAATTTATGCACGTAACGCACCACCACTCACACTCACCTTCCATCTACCCCCTCCATTTCGCAGACATTCTTCCTTCGAGTGCATGCGCGCACACACACCCACATACACACACCCACACACCACACACACACACACTCGCACACGCACACACAAACTCCCACAAACGCACATCCATAAAACATACAACATTTTATATGGATCTCATTTCTCAGGGTAGACCAAAATTGAAGCCAAATGCAAGAATAAATGATAACACAATCAAATGTCTGAGTTTAGGTCGGTGTTTAATAACAATTGAGGTAGTAATTATAACAATGTTCTTTGCAAATTAAATATGCAGTGAATAACTTAAGCTAAGGAAAAGCAAATTTAATAAAATTGAAGAGAGAGAAAAACTTTACATCAAACAGTATCTAAGAGTAAACTTCAAACACAAGTCATGTATTGGAAGAAATTTGTTTTTGAATACGATATTTATTTACAGTATTGTAAGGCGTCAGGTTTCGTTTAACACGATTCAAGTTAATATAGATAACGCTGTTGAATACAATAAGGGAAACGGTGCAACATCTAGATTTGTAGTGGCCCTAACGGTAAGTTTGTTGATCTTCTCAAAATGAATCAATGCAAATATTCACCTCTCCTTGTGTTAGACAATATTACAACTTATTAGACAATCCAGGGAGGAAAGGGAATTTATCACTACACAATCAGTGTCATATCCTGGTACACGACCGAAATATTGTTTTATAGATTTTTCTCAGAGCATAAGCATCGTAATCTTTAATTTGGCACGTTGCCGAAGTAAGCATTTGCCCCTTTCCGTACCCAAACATTGGTATGGAGGATAAAGGAGGCTGTTGCTGGTTACCGTACCCACAGATTGGTTGATGGGAGGGAGGGGGCGGTTGCTCGTTACCGTACCCAGAGATTGGTTGATGGGAGGGAGGAGGGGGTTGCTCGTTACCGTACCTAGAGATTGGTTGGGCAGAGGGAGGAGGCGGTTGCTCGTTACCGTACCTAGAGATTGGTTGGGCAGAGGGAGGAGGGGTTGCTCGTTACCGTACCCAGAGATTGGTTGATGGGAGGGAGGAGGGGGTTGCTCGTTACCGTACCTAGAGATTGGTTGGGCAGAGGGAGGAGGGGGTTGCTCGTTACCGTACCTAGACATTGGTTGGGCAGAGGAAGGAGGGGGTTGCTCGTTACCGTACTTAGAGATTGGTTGATGGGAGGGAGGAGGCGGTTGCTCGTTACCGTACCCAGAGATTGGTTGGGCAGAGGGAGGAGGGGGTTGCTCGTTACCGTACCCAGAGATTGGTTGATGGGAGGGAGGAGGCGGTTGCTCGTTACCGTACCCAGAGATTGGTTGGGCAGAGGGAGGAGGGGGTTGCTCGTTACCGTACCCAGAGATTGGTTGATGGGAGGGAGGAGGCGGTTGCTCGTTACCGTACCCAGAGATAGGTTTGGCAGAGGGAGGAGGGGGTTGCTCGTTACCGTACTTAGAGATTGGTTGATGGGAGGGAGGAGGCGGTTGCTCGTTACCGTACCCAGACATTGGTTGGGCAGAGGGAGGAGGGGGTTGCTCGTTACCGTACTTAGAGATTGGTTGATGGGAGGGAGGAGGCGGTTGCTCGTTACCGTACCTAGACATTGGTTGGGCAGAGGGAGGAGGGGTTGCTCGTTACCGTACCCAGAGATTGGTTGATGGGAGGGAGGAGGCGGTTGCTCGTTACCGTACCCAGAGATTGGTTGGGCAGAGGGAGGAGGCGGTTGCTCGTTACCGTACCTAGAGATTGGTTGGGCAGAGGGAGGAGGCGGTTGCTCGTTACCGAACCCAGAGATTGGTTGATGGGAGGGAGGAGGTGGTTGCTCGTTACTGTAACCAGAGATTGGTTGATGGGAGGGAGGAGGTGGTTGCTCGTTACTGTAACCAGAGATTGGTTGATGGGAGGGAGGAGGCGGTTGCTCGTTACCGTACCCAGAGATTGGTTGATGGGAGGGAGGAGGTGGTTGCTCGTTACTGTAACCAGAGATTGGTTGATGGGAGGGAGGAGGTGGTTGCTCGTTACCGTACTTAGAGATTGGTTGGGCAGAGGGAAGAAGCGGTTGCTCGTTACCGTACCCAGAGATTGGTTGATGGGAGGGAGGAGGTGGTTGCTCGTTACCGTACTTAGAGATTGGTTGGGCAGAGGGAGGAAGCGGTTGCTCGTTACCGTACCCAGAGATTGGTTGATGGGAGGGAGGAGGTGGTTGCTCGTTACCGTACTTAGAGATTGGTTGGGCAGAGGGAGGAGGCGGTTGCTCGTTACCGTACCCAGAGATTGGTTGATGGGAGGGAGGAGGTGGTTGCTCGTTATCGTACTTAGAGATTGGTTGGGCAGAGGGAGGAGGCGGTTGCTCGTTACCGTACCCAGAGATTGGTTGGTGGGAGGGAGGAGGTGGTTGCTCGTTACCATACCCAGAGATTGGTTGGTGGGAGGGAGGAGGTGGTTGCTCGTTACCGTACCCAGAGATTGGTCGGTGGGAGGGAGGAGGTGGTTGCTCGTTACCGTACCCAGAGATTGGTTGGGCAGGGGGTGGAGGCGGTTGCTCGTTACCGTACTTAGAGATTGGTTGATGGGAGGGAGACTGTGGCGGCGGAGGAGGAGGAGGTGGCATCAGATCCTTACCGTGCCCGGAGGGCGGTGGTGGCGGTTGCTCGTTATTGTACCATGGCACTGTATCTAGTTGGGCTGTTGGTATTGTTAACGAAAAACAGCACAAAAGTTAAATGATTAAAGGCTCATTAAGAAATGAAATGAAATGGGAAACCGCAGCGGTTTCTTTTACCATGTAAAATGATGAGCAACAATGTCCTCTCCGAGAGACTTGATGGTAATGTTGACTAACGTCTTACCACTAGCGCATCGACTTGGCTTCGAACCTGGGCCCTCCCGGTTTCGAGACAACTGCTCTACCACTGATCCATTGTTCCTCTTCAAATGGGCTGTTAGAAACTTGTTGGCAATTTAATTTTTTAACAAATTGTGAGAGCTGTTATTGATAAACAAATTTTATGAAACAGTGCCCCAAACTTGTAATTGCCACCTCATATTCGAGAAAGTAATTTCGTAAGCTTTATATCAGTTATATTACTACCTAATACATGTATATTTTCAAAGACCAAAATGAGACACTCCCTGCAGGATCAGGGTCCCATTGCATAAAACTTATCATTGAGGGTAACTTTCATGGAATACTTGATTTTGATTGGCTGTTGAGCAATGTTACCATGGTAGTTACCATCGATGGCAGAGTGATTAATGGTAAGTTTTATACAACAGGTCCCTGATCTACCATGGGTCAGTCATGCTGCAGTGTTAGCAGGCTGCGTACAGGTGTGGGGAGGTGCAAGGCAAGTACACGTGGGGATACATTAGGGACTTTTAGATTTGCGTGGACTGATACGTGTGACGTCCATTCATAAAAGGACGTCGATCGTAGCAATCCACGTTGTCGTTGTGCAAATCTAAAAGTCCCTAATGACACTAATTCAGCAGACTGTGAGTGCAGGCAGTGAGGGCCATTAGGCCATGGACTATCCACTGACATGCTGAATGACACATGTACCGGGAGGGACCTAGCAAAGGACAACGATGTGGCTCTTATATGAAAGGTAGTTGTGTAATAACTCAAATGATGATGAATGGTGAAATTACATAAGATCTAAAAAAAAAAAAAAAAAAATCTTATACCTAAATCTCCTGGTCCCGTATGGAGGTGTGCAGACATTTCTTTGCTGTTCTGAGAGCGAACAGGTGGTGACCACGCTGAAATTAATCCAAGCAATAGTAACAGGCTCCTGCGAATGACCTCCATCGTCTATTATGTTAGTGTTTCAACTAAAAATATGGGATATAAAGTACAATTATAATATTATTGGAAATCTATCATATTTCAACGGTAAGTTCCCATTGTGTCATAAAACGTGATAATGCTGTAAACATGCTGTAAAGGGTCAAGTCAAAAGGTGTTAGGTTATTTTGAACTATTTTGTCTGGTAGGGCCAATAATATTGTGTAATTGCAAACAATAGCCATTCCTGGTACAAATGAATAAAGGTCTATAATCGTTGACAGCTGGTTATGCCCACACTCCCTGCAAGGGAGTCCAAAAAGGTCAAATTGTTTTTCTGCTGCTCAGATAGGTATGCTACGAATACATTTGAATCGCGGCCAATTTCATATACTAACGATTTGAACACCATACGTGATCCTAACCATAACCCTAAATCTAATCTGAAATTCAATTTAAAATTCTAACCTTAAAGGTAAAGACCAGTTTTGGAAACGCCCCCCCCCCCCATCTAAAAAAATGAAATGGAAGCTCTTATTACCAATCATGTGAATGAATATGATTTGACTAATACGTGATCATACAACTTTTGCCGAGAAACCGCCTACTAATTGATATATTTGGTAGATTATTATATCTGTTTGGACCTGATAGATATAACGCACGTATGCGTAGTCCTATATACATACTTCTGTGTATAGTGCTTGTAACTTTACCAAGACTGGGCCAACTTTCTTATCATTTTGATAATTCCAGAACCTTGCATACAGTACACACCAATACTTATATGCTAGATTATCAACCTTTCCTGATCGATTCCAAATCTTTTCTTTTACAATGCAACCGCATGTCCATAACTGGTCTTTATCTTTAACCCTAAATTTTGGACGAAATAAAGCCCGGATGTGAAACACCGATTGTTGGCAGCAGATCATACCATCCGTTCCTGTACTACTGATTATATTGATTTGATTTAATTTTATTTCAACAGGGCGATTCCGTCGGTTGACAATCGGCCGTAGACGAAAGACTTCATGCATGGCTGATTGTCAACAAGACGGAGTTAAGTCTTTTGTCAATTCTGTTTGTTGCTACGGCAGGCAGCAAATGAAAACGAATTCGTTTGATAAAATTATGGAAATGCAAGCACTACTTAAAACAAACAGAACTTTGTCATTGCTTGCTCATTTTTCCTGATTGAGGTGTCATATGAAAGGGCAGGAACCCAACTTTCTAGAAATGTGATTTTCTCTTTGAAATTCAGATACCGTCCGCCAAATGACTTTTTGGTTTCCTCTCTTCAAATCCATTTTAATCACTCATGCGTGAAATATGAGTTGCATCAAATGAAAGAGGAGGATCTCCTCAGCTTTCCAAATAATGTGTCATTTATTAATTATAAATGTACTAAGTTATGATAAAACATCGATATAATTCTCGGTTTCGTTTTTGGGGGTCGCACTGTAAATGTAAAGAGAGTCCCAAATAGGCCAATCCAAGTGGTTGGCTCCTACTCAAATGAGGTCAAATATATCTTTTTTCTTCTAAAAAAACAAACTAAAGTAATAAAGGAATGATAGATCGGGATTAATATAAGATATTTTTGGGCTCAAAGATATCGATCATACCAGAAAAGGCGACGCAAAGAAAATAACACTTTACGATATCAAGTCAAGTGCAATTGGTATACCCTATTCTATATATTTCCTACATAAAAGTCATAGGCATTCGGATTACGTAACATGTCGCTTTAATATTCGTACATTTCAAAATGTGGAGGATAGAGCTACTGAAAATAACCTTAGGTCCAGATTATTTAATCGTTGCGATGATCATACATTTTTTCTGTTTGAAATTTATCATGAGAAATGAAACCCGATGATCACTCAGTTTACTAAACCACATCTTAAATTCTAAGTTTAATACAAAAAATGCAAATGTAACAGACAAGTAAATACTTTAAAAAAAGAAAGAAAATCATAAGGAAATTCATTGATTCTGGACTTAAAGTTCCACAAAACCAAAAATAAACCAACAGATTCAACAATTACAAAACAAACGAACATGAAAAGGAATTCATTTATCAATAATGTAAAGATTACAAAATATTGTCTTACCTCCGTGCTATCGCCTCTGTATTTTCTTACAGAAAAATATTCCCAGAAGTTTGAAGTATTCAAAGTTCTTGAAAGCTCTACACAGTGATCAGTGAACAATCAAAGTGATACACTTTCAATGCCGCCTTATATAGCTTCAGGTTGACCACTACGTATAACTAATTGGCTATTTTTGACCAATGATAATTATGATTGCATGGCAGTCCGGAAGTACAGTTTTAATACAATACTGAAGTACTGGTGGTGCTACCCTGGATAAGTATGGCCCTACCATTTATTGTTATATTATCATAATAACAATACTTAAAACACACGCACACACGCACGCACGCACACACACACGCACACATCAAGAGGAAATAAAACCAGCTGGTGATATTACTCAGCCTAATAAAGGGTGGGAAAGTATATATTTCTCACCCCCTCTCTTTCTCTCTCTCCCCCTCTCTCACACACAAAGGAGACCCGGTCAAAAGAACTTCATCGAAAGGTCCACTTTGATGAAGGTCTCTTGACCAGAGCGTCTGTGAAGAAAAAAAAATAGAAGTCCGATCTATGTTGTCTTATAGGTTACAGCTCCATCATAGATTATACCAATTTTTAAAATCTAGTAATGCATTAATTTTGGGGGTCTTCGACAGCTTGGATTGAAACAAAGACCAAGGTAGATATTAATACCTTTGGTATCAAATACCGTAATATTTAGTATTGTGTGGAACACCAAACGGCAAATTATCTTGCACTTGCCAATTGTATGATTAAGAATCTTGGCACCAGCTTGGCACCTCATATCTCAAACCTTCTACTGTACTACAGTACGTGTGTAGTTTAAAAGAGGGCATTTATAATCCAGATACTTCTCATATGTCGTACTCATCCCCGTCGACTATCTCTCTTTCAAACTCTTAAATGTAATACCCCCCCCCCCTTTCTCTCATTCATTGCACCCCTCTTTTCGTTACTCAGACTTAGGTTCAACTTCCAGTTTCTTTCATCCGCTTAATTCCGTCTAGATTTTCCTAACTCATTCCCGCCTCATTCTCTTCATTTTCCCACTCATTAACTTGTTTTCCCCATTTCTCTGTCTTAAACTCATTGGCCTGTATTCTTAAATTTAAACCTCACACTGGGTTTAATTTGTTTTCTTCGAAATCGGGTTTAACAAAGGAAGATAGCCTGAGGTATAAATTTACCGTTCCTAAACTGTTGAATATAATCTTATACCCATGCAGGGTGGGGATTGAATGAATTGGTAGAATGCAGGCCATTCATTTTATCTACCTCCTCTTCAATTTTTTTTAAATTTTTGTTTTAAAGTTTAAATCAACAAATGGTTTAAGTTTAATCAACTCCATTTTAACCAACATTGAGCAAATTTTTTTAACAAATAATGATTAAAATTTGTAATCAACCACGAATCAAATTTTGGTTAAAGTTTAACCAACAGTTGTGTGATTCATATGGTAATCCGTAAAATTTTAATTTAAATACTTGTTCTAACAGTGTACAGTAACATCAGTATTTTTTGAATGCTTATCTTCATCTTGGCAATATTTTTCATGATTTAAATGAATTAACACAGGATAGACTTTAATGATCTTTAATATTGTTGAATTTTAGATCTTGGACGCTTGTATTTTTATAAATATTAATAATATCTCATATAAATGTCAACGGCCGCTACACTTATTTCAATGATCTTATGTAATGATATTCCAGCCAAATACCTCCTCTTCTATTCACCCACTTCACCCCATATCTTTCTGCCTCATCCATCCGATCCCCACCTCAAACTACATGGCCTGTTTTGTATCAATTCTGGTAAACCCGACGGATTCTAAAGTTAAATGTAATGTACCATTTTCGTAATGGAACCAAATTTAATGCATACGTCCTATTCAAGTGCTTTGATACAAGTCATTTCATTCACCTGTTACAAAATAATTGTAATTCAATAGTCAGAATGCGAATTGCATATATTAGGTGCTGCTAGGTCAGACAAACACAATTGCTTGACTTACCTAACAACATGTTATATATGCAATTTGACTATTTGAATATGATCATCAGTAAAAAGTGAATGAAATAATTTTTATCATGGCCCTTCAAAAAGATGAATATATTTGGTTACATAACGAAAATGGCCTATTACTTAGAATAGACCTCGACCGTCTAAATTGTTTAGACGGAGCTTAAGCTCATTGTTAAGTTTAAACTTCAGTTTAAAATGTTTGAATTTGAGTATAAAACGGTCCCTCATATCCGATTCATTCACCCCTCCCCCACACTCACACTTTTCCATAATAGATTTGCTCAGTTTCATCACCTCAACTGTACTGATTAATTATTCTCTCTTTCTCTTTGAACAAACGTAACACCTATCAAATAAAATTTATCATAATTCTTAGATTACTATAGACAGAAAATGGATTTACACTTGGCATCCCATAAAAACGGTGGACTAACTAGAAATGACAAAATCTGCAAACTAACGGGTGTCTTTAAAATAGCTAGTACTTTCTTTTTATGCTCACTGCACTTCTAAGGTACACAGTCCAGCGCAAAGAACCAAGGTATACAAGATTAATGCACTGTACATGATGACAAAACATATATAGCATGATTAGTAGAATAAGAGTACATGAAATGGCAATGGTAATAAGGAGATACCTGCTCAAGTGTCCACGTGTCTACAGTGACCACATTTTATCCCTTGAATAGAAATTTCTTGGTGAAACGTATACTAAAAGATCCTGTACATTAAGCCCATCTGTCTATAAAGACCACTTTTCGTGACTCCCTAGGGTGGCCTTTATATACAGGTTTCACTGTATATATATGAAACACCCATCACTGAAATAATCGCAGACTTTCGTGAAATCCGTATCAAGGGCAATTTCAATACCCTTTAGATTACATCAGTGTATTGTTGCTACATTTCATTCTTTACTGGACAAGCAATTGAAGTCGACTCCGGTAATTTTTGGTTTATTTGTTTAAAAGTAGCCTACATGAAACCTACCTATAAAGACCACCCAAGGGAGACAAGAAAAGTGGTCTTTATGTACAGGTTCCTTTATTACATGTTTTAATGAGAAAACAATTTCAAGGGAAGCAAAAAATGTGGTCTTTGTAGACAGGTGGTCACTAAACCAGGTTTGACTGTATTTGCCATCATGTTTTCATCACCTATAAGGTTTTATAACACATCTTAAAGAGGAATGGATTCTGGTCGATATGAACATTAAATTGTGAGCTTCCTCATTCTGTATTTTCTTACAAGGAAGAACATCATACTAGCAATTTTATATGAAAAGTCTTACCCATGAATTGCCTTCATGTATCTAGAAATATACATGTACTTTAAAACTTTGAACAAAAGTTTAATGCTACATTTTCATTTGGTCCCATTTCCCTCGTAGTCCCATATGTACACATCTGTGTGCTTGTTTTTGCACTGTATGTGATTACAAGTAGGATTTGGTTCATTATTAATAACCATTCTGAGGATTCCAAAACCTTATCATACACAATGATTCTTATGAACTAGATGTATATTATCACTCCAATGCCATTTGACAGTTTAAATCTCTTTCACAATGCGATCATTTTTATGTTAAAACAATATTTCACACTAAAAATTAAAAATGTCATAAGACTAGATGTAGGACAAAATAAATCCGAGTGGTTTGTAATTCCAATTCATTTTAATAATTTTTCTGTCACACTTTGATTCTGCTACAAATGAATCAAGATACATTCCATGATTTCACATCACAAAGACTAATCTAACCATTATAGTACCATTCTAGAGAACACCCAATTTGAACTAAAATGGCATTTTGCCGTGACTGCAAAAAGAATTAATAGTAATGAATATGGAGGTAATATAGGTTACACGTACAGTAAGATATTGTCTGCCGAGCGTCAAAAAGGCGTTATCTAATATGAACTTCACATAGAGATAATGTCATTCTGGCTCTTGTGAAAATATCTCATCTGTTGAGAGTCACAAAGACGTTAACGCTGTGTTATAAGATACAAATGGAATGGGCAACTTGACATAAAATCTGTCTTCAGATTTTATGGATAATACTCAAATATTGCTATTATGACCAAGCCTTCCTAACAATGCAACACTTGTTAAAATAACCCTGTACTCTGCCAATAAAAAGACAAATGTATGTGATGAGTGAACAGAGTGAGAGATGTCTTCATACATTCTAAGAGTCTTGTGTACAGCTCATTAAAAAGTGAAAATAATTGTCCAACAAAAGGAGAACCCGAATGATTTTTCAAAAATTTGATTGACAAAAAGGTACAGCAAAAGCAAAAGCATAAAGTAAGGTGAAATTTTCATGCAGGAAATATATTATAACAAAAATGAAAAGAAAGAAAGAAAGAATGAAATGCTTTAATGACCCCCAAAAAAGACAGAAGTTGACTGAACATGCAATGCTTATAGATTGTTCATGAAAGAATATTTCATTGTCATTAGAGTACTGTTTTCACAGATATGATCAGAGATGATTTATCTGCGTCTAGAGACCGACTTTGAAAGCCAACGTCCACAAGACGCAACTGGAGGTCTACCCCCTGGTGTATAGGTAGACCAGGGCCCCGTTTCACAAAGCCATTTTTCAATGAAAAATGACAAAGATCAGTGACAAATCTGCTGATAAACAAGGATTTCACTAGCTTACAACAAAAACTGTCATTTGTCACCGATGACAAGTTTTGTGAAATGGGGCCCAGAAAGCCAACTTACAATTCATAACATAAATGGCATAGTTTCCAAACAATTTTAAATGGTGAATAAACTGAGAACAGGGTTCAGCCTTTACATTCATCGTTCTAATCATGTCTAACCATTATGAATCAATGGCGGTTAATACAGATGTCCAAAAATGGGGTTCAAAGGTAAACAAGTATTAATTTTGTTATTCCTTGAATCCCTAAATCTTGCATAAACACAAAAACACTTTTAAGTTAATACCCGTCTACAAAAATTATTCTCATGAAACAGAGATCGCTAGTTTGTCAAGTGTCGACCATGGCAACAATATTATACAGTGTTATAACAGATATTGGTCATGTGTTAATATCTTTTACCTTTTCTATTCAATTCAATTTAACAACAGATATGCATTATCAATGACAATTGCCAAAGCTTAAAAAAAAAAGTCTATAACATGATGCTATTTCAGAACCTTACATTCTTGTATTGTTAGTGAACACATTTTGTTATGAAACAGACCCTGAACATGTCAATGACTCATTCATTCCAAGTGCTCAGGAAGAAGAGTATCATTAATGCTCAATGTTAAGAGAAAATTATGAACCAAGTCCTGACATTTGGAAATCTTTGACCTGCAAATGGATGTTTAACCTTTAGCAAAAGTACAACTGTCTGGACAATAAAATACTTCTATTCACAATTGCAAAGACTCTGTATAGAAACACACTAAACACACACATACACACACTCTCCTGCTTGTGTTATGATATAGGGTAGCTGCAAAAATGGGGTAAGACTTCGAGACCTCTATAGAAAACCCTGCTTATTAAGGCCATCTGCATCTAACATCATATGGGGTCTACTACAAACATGGAAGATTTTTCTAAGGAATTACCTTGATATAGAACAGCGGTACACTGGGGTTAAACTTCTGGACCTCAACACAGCACAATAACCTTGTTGAACAAACTGACAAACATGTCTATAAAGGCCAAATATCAACAATTAAGGTGGCCTTTTTAAAGTGGCATTTCAGTATAGAATACCTGTAGTTGTAAAGACTAACGTTTGGTAAAGCTGCACAATGGGTATACTTTGGACCTAGGCACTGTACAATACACTTCAGTCTAACCTGTCTATAATGGCCTTTTGAAAGAAACTTTGAAGATGTATAAAGGAGGGATGACCTTTTCCAAGAGGCACTGTAATATAGACTAGCTGAAAGTTTGATATCAGAATTTGCTAAACTTGGTATGATTTCTTTCCTGTATGACAAAAAAGTCGAACCTGTCTATAGTGGCCATCTGAAAGAAATAACTTTGAATGTGCCCACTTTAGAGAAGTGTTACCAGTTTAAATAATCATCTCCATATAGAAAAGCGAAAAACATTTGTATCAGTATTAACTGCACCTGGGTAAGATTCTTTCACTGGACAATAAACATATCCTAACCTGTCTATAAAGACCAAAAACTTACTGATGCCTCTATAGTCAGGAGTGGCGCTTTTCAAATAAGCCTCTCCATATAAAAGAGCAGCAGAGATCGATATCAGTACTGGCTATATAGCGGGTAAAACCTCCAGATCTTTATAATATAGATGATAATAATAATAAACATAGCAAAACCTGTCTATAAAGACCACCCAAAAACAAATAAAGACACAGTCAAACCTGTCTATAGCGACCTCCAAAGGGAAACACAAAAAGTGGTCTTTGTAGACAGGTTCCTATAGTACATGTTTCAATGAGAAACCATTTTCAAGGGAAACTGAAAATGTGGTCCTTGTAGACAAGTGGTCACTAAAGCAGGTTTGACTGTATAAAGGGGCCACTACAGACAGGTTAAGATACCATGACAAGGAAAAGCAGCGATGGTCGGGATCCTTTTCGGCTGTGGTACATGGGGTTAAACGTCCTGATCTCTACACAGTAGAATAAACATATAATGATGTCATGTGCCTCCCACCTCTCACCTAGCACACTAAGATGACATCCTCCTCCATTCTAGATGGCATACTTCCTCTTCCCTTCTTCATTGATGATGCAGATGTGCTGAGAGGAGAATGATAACAGAGAGGAGGTAATAAAGAGTTTATCCCATTAGCAACTACAGATTTGGTAAAAATGGCCTATTACTCACTGGAACATGTTGCAATATTGCTCTCATTTTGACATTTTTCTGAACAATATGTAACATGCGCTATTTTTCTATGCAGAATCCTACTGTAGACATCGCAATAGGATTAGGCACGTATAACATAACGGTAGACCCTAGAACGGATACTATAGTGCTATTGGGTTACCCTGCTGGATACATCTGTATTTTGATATAACAGGTAGTTTCTATATATTTTGTACTCAACATGTCTATACAGTTGTCCTCCGGTCTATTTTGAATTCAGCAAGGGGAATAAACCTTCCTGAAGAACGATAGGTCCTATAGAATTATAAGTACATGTAAAGGAATTACATGAAAATAAATTACCACAAATAATAATCATGATAGCCTGCTACAAATACATATATTTGTTGGGTGGAAATGTATGGCTGCTCATCACAATTAAACTGGGGGTGCTTCATAAAGTCCAAGATTGATTTTAAGTTGGACTTTAATTTGGAATTAACTACGGCAGGCCAACTATGGCAGGCCATTCATGCCACTGGTTGCCCTCTCACCATTATGATCTTTAGAAAATATTTTTTCCTTCATTAATGAGCTCAACAAATTCTGTAGATTTGTGACCATCATTTGAGAGACCAATGCCAGTAAATGGTGTGAGCAAACAGTGGCAGAAACGGTATGTCATAGTTAAGTTTTTGTGAAACATTCCCCTGCTCAGTTTTCTTAATTTTAATAAGCAAATCTAAATGTAATTTTGTGTCATTCTGTTGGCGTAGAATTGCACTCCAAATACTGGGAATTCACAAAAAATAGTGCTGACAGCAAGTTTGTTTATAAACTCCAGGATTAGTATGTAGTTTTTTATGGAAGGGGGGGGGGGGGAAGGGGATGATCTGACATTTGCTCAAACATTAGTCCAGAAAATTAGATTAGGACCTCCGTTTTTAAAACAAGGCATTAGATTAGATTTAGGGTTAGGTGAAGGAATAATTATAGTGTTTAGCTCGTATTTTGAAATTAGGAATTTGAGTAGTGTTACAAATTGCCACATAGTACATGTCACCTGACCATTAGTTGCATAATTAATAAGGGGGAATATAAGGAAAATGATACTTACTCCTAAATCACGGAAATATTCATTGTAGTCCAAAGCATAGCCGACCACAAACTTATCAGGAATCTCAAATCCGCAGTCTGTGATCAAGAAAACAAATTTGATAAAATGTGTTTTAGCAAAAAACTTATAACAGGTATAACAAGTGAATTTGTTAATGCAATCTAATTACGTCATGTTCTTTATCAGAGCTCCATACACACTTTCTGCTTGATATATCATTAATTTTATACAGTAGCACCCAATTTATCTGTCAATTGTGAAAGACAAAACAAACTATTAAAGGGATTGGGTATCTTTGTCTCAGATTCTAAAACAAAATCCTGGATTTAGCTCATGCTGCAATGATAATTATAAACCTGCTTTAGGTCAGTCAGGAATCCCATGAATTTTACAAGCCGATCGCCTGTCTGATTATCAAGATATTTATGATTGGAAAGCTAAATTTCAAAAACGTTTTCCTAACAGTTTTTATAACACTACAGTCTATTGGGGAAAATGAGTATGGTAAAAACCGGGCACACAAAGATTTTAATTTTTTTGAGGCACTTCATGATAATTTTGAAGCGCCCTAAACACACACTCTCCTGCTTGTATAATGATATAGGGTAGCTGCAAAAATAGGGTGAGACTTCTACTTCCAGTCTTGGTAAGGTTACAAGCACTGTAAGCAGAAAGATGTATAAGGGACTACACACACATGTGGCATTAAAATCGGTCCCGATTTTTATGTTGTTACATGCCATACTTGGAATATCAAGGCATTTGAAGAGCCATGCTTTTCAGGGAACATTATTTACATGTATGTAATGTTCTTCCACACTTGCAATACAATGATAACCCTCACAAAATTTTCTTCGCCTCTTCCCAGAACACAACCTTTTCTTTAACACTGAAGAATAAACAAACAGAATGAACAGTAGTGTTTTACTCACAATCGGGTCTGTATCCTATACTCCTTGGAGTCCTCTTAACTAATAGACTGCATACTTTAACCGCCTTGGGGTTGTGACCTCCGACGACCTTTAGTAACCTCTGCATGGTGTGACCTGTATCGATGATGTCCTGGATGGAGAGAACATTGGAGACAAATGAAGTTGTGTCATGTGATTGACAGTGACATTTGTCTTTCATGATATATTGTTTAGCCCTAACAGGATAGGGCTGGCGAGGTGCCATGATTTCAAGAGGCAATTTTTGCTTCAAATTAGTTTAACACATATCAGTTCAGAATTTTCTTATTTTCTAAAATAAATAGTATTCCATCCACAAATTGGCAACAAATAATCTTATTTTCCACTCCTTCATAGTTTGAAAAAGGAAAAATGTTTAATAAAAAAATATTAATTTGTAAATGAAAATTGTGTTTTATATTTTACACTGCGATGCCAATTTAGAGACGTTAGTGACTAGTTACAATTATAATTAGAGAACTTGTCAACCCATTAGTTGTAGTTCCACCAAGTCAGGTGCTAGTGAAATTATGACCTACAGCACATGGAAACTGACGAATAAATCAAAACCTTAGACCTCAGTCTACATGTTAGTCACTTACATGTAGAGTGGTATCAATTCCCATTGGAATAGAGGCAATTGTATCATTGCAGGGGGGGGGGGGGGTGTTTCATAGAGCTGTTCGTAAAGTTACGCATGACTTTACGAATGACTTAAATATGAAAAGCCAAATGGGATGCTCAATCATTTTTTAACTGCATCAACTAAAGTTGAACTGTGCAGATGTGGATTAACATTCTTATTATAACAAACATTTTTAATGCAAGTATATTTTTGGCCATAATTTAATTGAGGTTATTGGAAATATAGTCACACTTTGTTAAAACATCAGGGAAAACTTTAGGCATCCTATCCGGAACTTCATATACAAGTCGTTTGTAAAGTCATCCGCAACTGTAGGAACAGCTTTATGAAATCCCCCCCCCCCCCTCCCCGGATCAATGAAAGAAGGTTCAGTGTCTGTATTGAAGGAAACCTAGATTCACCATACCTCAACAATGAGGACGTTCTTTGACTCCAGGTTCTCCAGGTTGTCTCCTCCAACGACATGGATCTGACCGGTTGACTTGTCATTCTAAGAGAAAAATTGATCAATGCAAAGGGGGATGACTTGGTGATGGAATTCCTGGGGAGTGTTTCACAAAGACTAAGATCGACATTAAGTGCCACTAGTTCCTCTAAACATTGGTTTCTCAAGGGATGGACAAATATGGTCACAAATTTACAAAATTTACATTTTTTGATACCGGTAGTTCATTATTGAAGGAAAAAATATCATGTTAAGATCATTATTTAGAGACCAATGGTGAGAGCAACCAATGGCATAAATGGCCTGCCATAGTTCAGTCCAACTTAAAGTTGATCTTAGTCTTTGTGAAACACTCCCTTGGATTAAAGAAAGGAAGGCTTTAATTTTTTTCACTCATAGAGAGAGAAAACTACAGAGCCTTTTGATGTGAAATATTGCACATACAATGTACCGTACTTTAATAAACTCATCTTGCTGCTACAGATACATTTTGAGGTAAGGATTTGAGACATTATGTTTATCAGGGTGTGCAAATCCCTGATAGGGGCTGTAAGATGGATGAAGGGAATTCACAGCTAGTACTTTTTAAAAATTATTCAACATTTGATCTAGTTTCTCTACATATCAAAGGCATCATTCAACAATGCTACATCTGAGATGCATGGCCCTATGTGTTATCAGCGTCTGTGACATGGTGTAATATTGAATCCCTTCAAAATGATCATGAAGTGCTTCAAAAAAGTAAACATCTTTGAGTGAGCGGTTTTACCATACTCATTTTCCCCAATAGACTGTAGACTAGTGTTATCAAAACTGTTGGGAAAATGATTTTTGAAATTTCGAATTCCAATCATAGATATCTTGATAATTAGACAGGCGATCGGCTTGTAAAAGTCACTGGATTCCTGACTGACCTTAAGGTTTATAATTATGATTGCAGCATGAGCTGAATCCAGGATTCTGTTTAGAATCTGAGGCAAAGATACCCAATCCCTTTAATGGTTTGATGAAGGGGGGGCAGGGCGCGACAAACCCGCTTGCCCGACGTCCCGGGGCAACCAAATTGAGCCGTCGGGCAAGTAAATCAAATTATCACTTGCCCGATTCGGGCAAGTGATACTTTTACAGTAATTTCTAGTGTCCAAGAACTCTACCATTCACCCGTCAACTTCTTACCCGTCGTCAAAATCCAGAAGCAAAAAAGCGATCGTTCCGATTTCGAAAAAACTTCACAGACAGCTATAGCCAGCTCAGCTAGCTCAGCGCGCATGCAACAGTGACACTTCAAGCCATGAATGCCGCTCCGCCTCCACGCACGGCCGGCCGTGAGCTAGCTAGAGACAGCTAGCGCGATCGTACCAGCTGCGAGCTTATTCGCGCTCTCTCTCTCTAGCTCTGCAGGCCGCACCGACAGGCCTTTGCTATTCTCTGATTGCCGATTGGTTGAATCACGCCAAATATGACGTCATTATTCTAGGGAAATGAACACGTGCGAATCGGAATGGAATAAACAACAGGGATTTTCTAGTAAGTACAAAAAGTCAAATGTTTGATATTTATTCATAATGACTGTTAATGATTGTGAACATATTATTTAAAACTCGCTGCTCATATAAATCAGATGAATGTTTTTGTCTCGTTTTCAATTTATTACTGCGGTCTCAAGATCCGACCGAGCGAGTCATTTTGATAATAGTATCGAGACCCCCAGAATATAAGCCGTTGTTGTTTTGTTTTCATGGTTTTAGCGACGTTGTTTAGTCTAGTTTTCGCATACTTATCCGAGATTTATCGTAAAATATCTTCAATATTATTATTTAGTAAGAATTTACAAATTTTGGCATGATATTTATAGCAGTGAATGATGAAATAAAAATGTCCGTACTTAATTGTATCATATTTTTTACAACAGGGTCATTATGCTTTTTTACATGACTGAATATTAAAAACTTAAACCTGCTTGAACCATTCTACCTTGCCGAGATTCATGTGAATCTGATTATTTATGGAGAATCAATAAAATGCGTTTTTTAAACCTTCAACCATCCTTTGTTGACCATTTTCTTTGACATATTAGGTTATTATTCAGTACAGTTACACTGTACATGTATGTGCATTAATTTGCTATCTAAAACACTAACTTATCATTACGAGATAATAAATGCTTTAACCTCGAGTCCTTTTTCGCTTTAAAGTTTTGGGCAAGTGGAAATATTGTTTGGGCAAGTAAATTGAAAACCCACTTGCCCGACAGGGCAAGTGGTGAAAAAAATTCTTGTAGCACCCTGGGGGGGGGGGGGGGGGGGGGGGGGGGGGGGGGGGGTGGGCGAAGGAGGCCTTTTTTCCTACCTCATAACTCTTGAGACGGATGAAGTCTATACGCATCTGCACAGAACGTCCAGCGTTCTGGTTCAGCGCTTGCACGTAGTTTAGAAGGTCGGAGCAGAACTTGTAGCCTCCTTTTAAAACGCAGAGGACGACAAGAGCCGATGAATCTCCCATGTCATCGAAGATATCCCTCGCAAGCCTCTCTGTCCTGTAAGATGAACATTTTCTCAAAAATTAAAGGCTTGGTCAGACCTCAACGATAATGACAACTATAATAATAATAATAGGCATTTCTATAGACGCCATCTATCTAGAAATTCTATTCCGAGGCGCATTTATTATTACCCCGGCTTTAGCCTAGCTGCCACTACAGTGCTCCAGCATTTCAAGGAATTAATTCCTGCCAGGTACCCATTTACATCACCTGGGTTGAGTGTGGCAAATGTAGATCAATTAAGAAGGTAACATCTCTTGGGAAAGAAAATGACTGAATCTAAGATTCTGACCCTACCAGAAAATGCAGCACAAGATATTCTATATTCTCAGTGTTGATATGATTATTCCTTCCCTAAGTTCCCTATAACAATCCTTGCCAAAATGTAAAGAGAGAGAGAGAAAAAGGTGGAAATAAAAGAGGTTGTAATCTTTGATGATGAGGAAGAATAGATGTTTAGGAGTATTCTGCTCCAAAGTGACCCAAAATAGGGAGCTGAAACCCAAAATTGGAAATTTCTGCTTCAACCGGTTAATTTGATAAGGAAAATGCAAAAAATGCAAAAAAGGCTCTCTCTTGAAATTAAGATTATTCTGGGTGTTTGGTAAAATTATACACTTAAACTCGTGTATTTTGTTCACAATCAATGCTATCTATGTCGATAATAATCTCCAATATCTCAGCACAGTCTGCACAGAAATATTCAAATCACTGTAAAATACAAGAGCTGGCAGGATTAAAGGATCGTAAAAATACTTGGAATAATGCTGGTATTATTCATAAAGCAGTTTCCACATATGGTTGTTTGAACACCTGTGAATGGTTGGCCTTCAAAAAAGTGTTATATTCCCCATGCGAGCTAGATGTGTTTTAAAGCCCATCTCCACTGGGAGGGGAGGGGAGGGAAGGGGAGAGGAGGGAAGGGGAGAGGAGGGAAGGGGAGAGGGGGGGGGGGGGGGGGGGGGGGGGGGGAAGGGAGGGGAAGGGGGAAGGGAGGGGTACATACCTATCGGCGATGACTCCCTGTGGGACGAGAATCCTCTCCAGGTCCTGCTCATAATGCCTCGGGACGCAGAATGTGTTGAGGCTGTATCCCTCATAGTCGTCTGGTATCTGCAGAAAAGACAGAATGTTCCATCATTATCAGAAAAAATTGATAATTATACACACTGAAGAGTGAAGACACACTATGGGTAGTCTGTGTGTGCAATGTACTCAGTTTCTTGTAATGCAGTTGATGAAATTATTACCCGATGTGTGTACAATTCTTGCATGCATTGACACTGATGGCCCACTTGGAATAGATCATTTTTGCGATATAATCAAATTCAATGCAATGCATAAATCTTTGTTAAGTGCCTCGTTATAAATTATTTCACTTACCTTTTATTAATAATTGTATTTCAAAAGTCAGAATGCGAATTACATACATTAATTGTTGCTAGGTAGAACAAACAATTTGGCTTGTCCTACCTAACAACACATAATGTATGCAATTAGCCTTACGACTATTGAAATACAATTGTTTGTAACAGGTGAATGAAATAATTTGTAACGAGGCATTTAAAGAATTTGTTCATTAAATTTGATTTATCACGAATAACTCAAAACATGCAGGATTGGATATTGTTCAGTAATTGTTCGGGGTGAAATTTTATGATGATGAATTTTCCCTTTAGGGCAGTTTTTATGCACTAATAACAGATGGAAGTACCTTTGCATGCAAAGCGTGCAAATGACTTACCGGTAGCCTATAGAGTGCGCTCCCTACAGGGGTGGGTGCAGGGAGGGGTTAGTTTCCCCCCTCCCGTGCCAAGCCCGGAAGCTTTGACGTTTCATCGAATTATTAGAGAAAGAAGACAATTCGTTGTACCATTCTTGACTCTTATAATCCTTCCTTGTCTGAATTCGTTTTCCCCTCTCGCGCAAAGCACGAAAGCTTTTGACGTTTAATTAAATTATTAGAGAAAGAAGACGATTTGTTGTAGACCTACTGTTCTCGACTCTTATTCTTAATCCTTTATCCACGTCTTACTCTTAATTGAGTTTTCCCCTTTTGCCAAAAATGCGGAAGCTTTGACGTTCATAGAGGGTCTAGATCTAACTTACATGTAGATCTAAATTATTTAGGCCTAGAGTCTAGGGTCTAGGCCTAGTCTAGAGAAAAAAGACGATTGTGTACCGTTCTTGACTCTCAATCCTTGTCTGAAACTGAAAGTTCAAAAATGTTTCTTTGTGGAGTAGATCTATGCTCGTTTTTCTTCCTACTCCTAGATCTACGTCCTCTCACTTTTTTCTCTTCTCTCTCTTTTTGGACAGCGGTTTTTTTTTTTTTTTGGGGGGGGGGGGGGACTGCCCCTTCCCCCCCCCCGGCCTTGGCTACACGCCTAACTGCTGACTAGTATCTAGTAGAATTCTAGATAGCCATATTTTTAAAAAGATGGTTGAACCAATGAATGAAATGAAGCTCATCATGCATTCATAATCATGGCAATGCCAATGCAACGAAATATTCGTGCGAATCCATGCATGCGCTATGCACGAACGGACAACAATAATCGTGGCTCTCGATCTCGCGCCTTTCAAAATCATGTGGTCAAATTTCCGGGTAGACTGCTGAGCTTCACATGGAAAAGCTGAACGTGTAGAGGATGTTTAAACAGCTGGCTCTGAAAGCCTGACAAAAAGACAAAAAAGCACAATTTAACCAATCAAACTGGAAACTTACAGAAATTATTGTCGACATCTTGCTAATCTTAGGTATTTTGACTGCAGGCTCACCGTCCATTCGTTCGCGCGTCTCCCCGTTCATCGTGTTTATAAAATATTGACCTTTGAACTCTTATGAGGCTAATCTATGTTCAGAAAGGGGTATTATGAAAAAGAAAAAAATAATCAAAAATGTCTTATTTTGCTCATCATATTCAATGTTGAAATTAAATAATATTTTACACAAAATTTTCAATCGTTGTCATTTTAATATATTTTGATTACTCATTATTAATTTTTAAAAAATATTTTAGTCCTAAATTTTACCTACAATACTATGGAATAGTCCATGTATTCACTACTGCCGGAAATATATTCCGCGCGCTTTTTAATGGTACTGTTGTTGTTGTTGTTCGTTTGGTATAATGGCTATTAAATTCATAGAATTAAGTATATATCTCTATGGTCAAATTTGACTACTTGTAAAGCATGGTAGACCTACATAAAAAACATGAAAAGAAAAACATGCGCAACAACATCCGCAACAACAACGAAGACAGCAACAACGACGACAACAAGAATAACAACACGATGAACAACAACAACAACATTGAACAACACAATTAAGCAGTGATAGCATATGTAGCATTTTCGAAAATAGGAGGCTTGGTTTTGGAAGAAACCTTGCATATGGTGATTTGTTTTGTTTGGGGTAATAGGCCGAGGGGGAGAGACATCGCGGATCGGGGGGGGGGGGGGGGGGGGGGTCTGCCCCCCTGATATATTGCATTTTATCGCGACGCTTTTTGACAAATGTTGTGGATATTTCATTAAATATATTACGTACGTTACCGGATGGTGTACTGTATATCATGATTCGCGGTTCGAGTCCCGCTACGATCAACTACTTTTGCAAGAAATTAAACAGTGAACCAAACTCGACCCAGGTGAAGAAAATTGGTAGGCCTATACCTGGCAGAATGCTACAGCGCCATACTAGTGAAACGCCGCCAGGAGGCGTCATTTTTTTCTGCGGCACAGATTGGGTTAGGTGCGTGTTGAGCCCATGGGCGTCAATGCTTACGTAATACCTATTGTTCAGGGGGGGGGGGGGATGAATGAATAGCTATCACCCCCCCCCTGAACAATATGTATTACGTATGGATTGACGCCCATGGTTGAGCCTATGGGAAAGTTTAGGGTTAGGGTTAGGGTTAAATCAAGACCTCTTTAAAAAAAAGAAGCCCCAATCTGTGCCGCAGAAAAAAATGACGCCGACGGAAGTGTCAAGTCTGACAATAACCCCTCCCTTATAATTATTCTTACTTTGCGGCGTCGCAATGAGCTTGCCGATGATTATTCCCGGCGCGGGAGTATATTATGATGGCCTCTATAGTGGCATAAGAGGCATATGACGTATCGAAAAGAAAGGAAAGGAGGGGAACGACGAGAAAGAGACTTCGGATACAAAATGTTGGATTCACCCGGCCTTACCGTATCCCCGTTGCGGATCCCACCCCCTGGTAAAAAAAGACGTGTAAAACACGTAATTTTACCCTTTTTTTTAAAGATCCCCCCTGCCCCCTGGTGCTCAAGGGATACGATTTTTCTAATTTTCGAGGGCTCCCCCCAGAAAATTAGTGCTCACTACCCCCCCCCCCCCTTGAGCGCCAGGGGGAGGGGGCATCTTAAAAAAAAGGGTAAAATTAACATGTTTTTACACGTCTTTTTTTACCAGGATGCCCCCCCCCCTACGGAGCGAATTATCGGCCGGCGCGGTTTTCAAATTTCCGGGAGTAAAAAAAGAGGAAAAAAACAGTGCTCACTACCCCCACTCCCTCCCCACCCCCCTCCCCCCCCCCCACGTAGCAATTATCGGCCGGCTATTTCGCCGCTAATATAGTACCTTGGGCCCCCTCTCCTGCCGCCGGCTGGATCCGCCCCTACCGTATCCCCTAGCTAATCCATGTCCCATAATGCTAGTGCCCCGCTCCCTCAACGGCTGAATCCATGCACGCTTGGCCACTCACTGCCTTCATCTTCTTTCTACGAGATTTCATTGCTCCCATCGATATTACACCCCCCCCTCCCTATATACATGTACCTCACTTTCTGTCGCGCTCTCCGTCGCTCCGGCTCTTTTATACACCTTTCTTTATTTCCTCGTATCATGGAGTTATCTAACCATTTCTTTTTCTACCCAGCAATTATTTTGCTCGGATTACGTAATATTCATTCAGCCGCATCCAACCACATCAAACAAAATCATACCTAGCCGTTGCTTATAATTCAGTATTCTTCTTCTTCCAGGAAAAGTTAGGTCCATCGTCTGGTGTATACTATTTGGCAGGTCTGGTGCCAGTCGTGAATGTACAGTGCAAATTAAAAACTTCTACAATATTGTGCAGCTAAAAATCCATCATCCCCTTCTAACGAAGGTGGACGTCTTGTATCTCTTGCTTAAAAGCTTCAGTGGAGGCCCAGTAGACAAATCCAGCAGGTAGCAACTTCCAAAGCCTGATCGAGTCAGGGAAGAATGACTTCTGGTATACGAGAGTCCTTACAAATTGTTATTGAAATTGCTGGCTATGACCACGGTTGGATCTCAGTCGATCTCAATACTACTTTAAGTTCAATTAGTATCATTATGCTGTTCATGCGCATGGAAACAGAAGACTTTGTAAATAGTGGGGATATTACTTAATTGAAGAAAATTAAATGTTATTTTGAACAGAATTGAACTTCAAGTGGATTCGACGTAGGATCGGAATATAAGGTGATAAACATCAATTCTGAAAGCTAGGTACAGACTAGACCGAAAGCTTCAGTCTCTCTAATCGTCGGTTGTTCCACTGAGACTACGTCTGGCTCCACTAGACCTCCGATGACGACAAATGTCAGTTTTATTAAAGAAATGACCCAAATCAGATGGTTATTGCTGTCTAGGTACAGACATGACAATGTAGGGTCTTAGTCTAGATCAAGAAACTGCAATGACAATCAAAGATTTAAATATAAATTATAAATGTCTTCTTTATTAGTTTAAGTCTTTGTAGCGTAATAATGAGGCTTATAATTATAAGTAAACAGAGGTTGTCATTATCTCACTGTCCTGAGTTACCTGAGTTTAGTTGGAGAGATAATATTGTTTGATTTGATGCAGCATGTTTAATGATTGATTTTGGTCAGCTATATTTTTCCTCGGTTAAATAAACACGTTCCACTAGTTAAACCACCTGTCGTATAGAAAGATAATGTTTGTCCTTACCTTAATATATGGTATATCATCCATGATTCTGGGCTGAGATCAACAAGTTGCTATCCTTAAGTGTGATAAATTCTTGGTGTGAAGCTCCTATGATTACTGCTACTAGTCATGTAGATCCCGCCTAGTTGAAGTCAAGCGTAGTTTAATGTAGGCCTACTAGTTCTAGGCCTTTATAGGCTTATAGAATCAAATTACACCTTGAATAGGTTTATATAATAGGCCCTGTTTTTTTTTATCTCCTCTCGATTCAGCGCTCAAAGTGATTGCAAGAATCCGGATCGGAAACAAGCACGGTGACGGATCCGGGGGGGGGGGGGGGGGCAAAGGGGCACATACCCGGGCCTTACAGATGATTGAATGGGGGGGGGGGGGGGGTACGGAAGACAGGAAGAAGCGTCGGCTTTTTTGGTTGTCAGAAAATAATTGTATAGCCAAAACAGCATACTCAAACCTGAAAATTATAAACTTTTTTTGCTTCAGAATTTTCGGATTTGCGCCCCCTCCAAGCCAGGGAATCATAGATGCGCCGTATTAAGTATTAACCTTTGAATCTGTGAATGTTTGTTTTACCATTGTCATTGTGAATAAAGTGTCTAGTGACTTGTAGCCAATAGCCAGAAGAATGTCAGTCTATATAGGGTCCAAAAGTCAATTTTAAGGTCAAGTCTCGCTTTTGTCTTAGTTGTTAAATACACATTCTCTTGGTGTTCCGCAGGCTCCTGCAATACAATATATAATAAGGCACTAACCGAATCTACCTCAATCCTGCCTCAAAACTCTGAATCCAATCATATCACTATAAATGCTAGACCAATAACTCCCCGTTGCCAATGTCGGATCACTCCCACTCGACAACCATACAACGAAAAATAGCTTCGTGAGCAAAATTACAATAGATATAATCTGTTGCCTAAAAGGCCACTCTTTTAGACCACAATCACATGAACGAGACCGAAAACAGACCGGATTGCAATGCCCGGCATGACCAAAGAAAAGCTCGGTATTTAATCAGTGTAGAGTCGTTTTTTTTTTGTTGTTTTTTGTTTTTTTTAGGGGGGGGGGGGGGGGGGTGGTGGTGGTAGTGGTAGTGAGCACATTTTTTTTGAGTGGCTCAACCGGGGGGGGGGGGGGGGGTATGGAACTCTATTTTTTTTACTCAACACCCCCCCCCCCCCCTCCCGACCCCTTGTGCGTCGTGGGAGGGGCCCGTCTTCTTTTCATGAAATTAACATTACCATCTTTTTTATAAATCTTTTTTTTTTGGCCAAGGGAGGGGGTCCGGCCCCCGGCTCCCCCTTGGATCCGATTGATGAACACAAGCATGTATCCCCAAGAACCCCGCCCCAATTCGGGTCAATTCACTAAGCAGCCCATGCCTCAAATATTATTGTGCCAAAAGGAAGGAGTTTAACATTACCGCTCATCACAAAAGACACCACAACGACAACTGTCTGTCGGGAATATGTGTTAGTGTTTTATTGTTAATTATTTTACTGTAAGTTCCACATTCTACATTATTATTAATAAGTTTGTCTCACATGTAAGGCTTAATAATTTTTTTTTGTTGTATTGCCCTTTGCGACCGACCCCCCCCCCCAAAAAAAAAATTTAGACAAAAAAAGTTCAATAAAAACATATGTATTATAGCATACAAAAATGAAAAATATCTGCCCGAAAAGGGGACAAAGAAATAAAAAGAAAATCGACTGTCCGACCCAGGTGCTGGCACCTAAAGGGCAATACAACTTCTTCTTTTTTAGGCCTAAGATTCAACAAGATAATGCAAAATAAAACAATGATAGATGATATACTATGGAACATAGAGACAAGGGCGGATCCAGCCGGAGGCAAGAGGGGGGGGGGGGGGGGGGCCAAATCTTGAGAAAATATTTAGCGGCGAATCAGCCAGCCGATGAACGGCGACGATGAACGGCGAATGAGCGGGGGTGGGGGGGGGGGGGGGGTTACATATATTTGTTTTTTGGGGGTCCATTTTAGGGGAACATTTTTGCGCCGACTCAGCCGGCCGGTGAATATTAAAGCGGGGGGGGGGGGATGCTGGAGAGGAGGACCACTAATTTCTTCTTCTTTTTTTTTCGAGGGAGGGGGGGGGGGGGGGGGGAGGTGAAGCGCCGTTTTAGCATGACTTTCTTTTTAGCTCTCACTTTCACCTAGATTACCCTAAGGTTTTTGTTGCTGCTTTATATGTAGTTGATAATGCATGATTAAAATAAATAGAGAGAGAGAGAGAGAGAGAGAGAGAGAGAGAGAGAGAACCAGTGGCGTACGCAGGATTTTTTCAAGGGGGGGGGGGGGGGGGGGTTTTAAAATCGGGTCCAAAATTTCGCAACGACTCAGGAAAATTTGAAAATCGCGCCGGCAAAAAGTCGCTCAGTGGGGGGGGGGGGGGGGTAAGTTCACCTTTCTTAGGTCAGCCATGGGGGTAATTTTTTTTTTTTTTTTTTTTTTAATAATTAAAAAAAAAAAAAAAAATCCAAAGGGGGGGGAGGGGTTTTAGGTTTTTTTTTAGGGGGGTTTACATACATAAAAATACCAAAGGGGGGGGGGGGGGTTAACCCCCCAAAACACCCCCCCCCCCCCCCCCCCCCCCCCCCCCCTGCGTACGCGCCTGGAGAGAACCACCATCATTATGCAATGGTTCAGGGTTTGTGTAATGTGCATTTGAAACTATTTCTTAGCGTCTCAACCCTAAAAATATAGCGAAACTATTTTTTAGGTAAAGCATTATACTGAACTGAATAAAGAATAATAAATTTATATTGGCTCATACTAATACTGATACGGGTTAAAAACAATGTGGTATCGGCACAGTAAGATCGGGTATTTGTATAGAGGTATTCCGAAATGACATTCTGATAATCAACATTTTGTTCTGTTATCATATGTATATACGCATAATACAGCTGATTTCTTAATGTGACATAGCTTCTTCTTCCCCTGCAAATAAAAAAAGAAAACAAGGTTATTTAATAAAAGGATCATGCGACAAAAATGATCATTGTGATTCAAATTGATGTAAGGATTTTTTTGAATAAGTAATGCTTTTTACTAGAATCTTCTTTGTAAAAACGACTTTTAAAATTCTCAGCCATGCAATTATGCCACTGTGTTGTAAGATCACTTTCAGATTAGGAGAAGTGTATTCTTTAATGAGTATTCTAAATTGAATGGAACGTCTCAACTCAGTAAGCATGGCTGACATTTGTAAAAAGTTGTTTTACAAAGAAGATTCTGGTGAATAACAGTGTTTATTGAAAACAAATATTCGCATCAATTTGAATCACAATCATTTTTTGTCGCTTAATCCCTTTTAATGACCTGTTTTCTTTCTCGTTTGCAAGGGGAGAAGAAGATTATGTCACGTTAAAGACATCACAAAGATCAGTGTTGTATGCTATTATTATATACACAGGCCCCGCGGAACGTTTATCAAATTTGGGGGGGGGGGGGGGGCTAAAGTAAGTTACGATCAGGTAGAGGGTAGCGGGCGTAAATTGGTGTGTGTGTGTGGGGGGGGGGGGGGTTCAGGGGGCGGAGCCCCAGGAAGCTCAGGGGTTTTAGGCATTTAATTACGGTCAGAGAAGCACAAATATTTTGATGCCGCATTTGTGTCACTGGCAGGTCAGGGGGGGGGGACCGTTTTTTTAAATTAAAGTTTTTTTTTAAAGGTAAAATTTACGGTTTAGGAGGCTAGGGGGGGGGGGGGCGGGTAGAATTGGCCCGTGGATCCGCGCCTGCATAGAGAGATAATAATATGAACTACGAGGAGCCTATAAGAAGCGATTCTTGTATAGTATCATGATTATGGGCTCCCGAATAAAATACAAAATATTGTGATGAAGTCTACGTAGTAGAAGTTTGAGTCACTGAGCTTTTATAGCATTATGTATAACAATATTAATAAAGAAGTAGTACGTAAATAATACGTGCATATAGTCGTGTTCACCCGAGTGGGGTGAAATCCAAAAAACTATGTAAGAGTTGATTCATGTTGATGTTCAGGGCTGGTGCCTTGCATACAGCTAGGCACGTACGCAGGGGGAGGGGTGGGTTTTGGGGTTAACCCCTTCAGTTTTTGTAATGTTTTATTTTGGATCAAACCCCCCCCCCCCTTTGTGATTCTCTTTCTTTCTTTTTTTTAATCAATTTTTTTTTTAATAAAAAAAAATAAAATCATTGTACCAATGGCTGACCTAAATAAAGGTGACCTTACCCCCCCCCCCCCCCAACGGAGCAAAATGTCAAATTTTCAAATTTCGAGACCCAAAAAAAGTGTCCTCTAACCGCACCGCCCCTCCCCCTTCCCCGTTCCCCCTCCTCCCCCCCCCCCCCCCCCGCTTATTCAGCGGCTGGCTGAGTCGTTGCGATTTTCCCCCCCCCCCCCCCCCCCCCCCCCCCCCCCCCCCCCCCCCCCCCCCCCCCCCCCCCCCCCCCCCCCCCCCCCCCCCCGCTTATTCAGCGGCCTGATTTTAAAATGTTACCACCCCCCCCCCCCTTGAAAAAATCATGCGTACGCTACTGCATACAGCTCATATTTTGTTATTCAAACATCTTTTCCCCTTTGAAGGACAAATACGTTTAGAAGAATGAGGGATGACCGTAGTCCGTGGTGTACGCCATGAAATATAAATATTGACCCGCAACGTTTCCATCATGAATAGGATACAGAGACTACAGACCCCTCTGAAAACCCTTTGGAACATTACAGAAACTAGTGTCCCTTTACATAGATTGTTGTTGTTGTTCTTTTAAGGCTGAACAATCTAAAAAGATTATTTCTGCCTGGCAGTGCTGTTTATTTTAGTTGTTCATCACTGATGATTAGATGGCGCTGTTTCTTTTCCTCTTCTATGGGTATCATATTGTGCAGCTTCCGTTTATTCGATGGTGCGGGCAATAAATTAGGTGTCGACCATGAACAGGGTGCGAGTATTTTATTCATAATAGGGGTTAACTGTGCAGTGCTAAACTATACTTTCCCTTCCCTTCCTCTCCAAGAGAGTTACTTATAACTTGTTAGCTTTAATGATTGATATATACCTGTAGCTTTTATGAAAGCCGGGATGAAAGCCAACAGAGTGTGCAGAGCCATCTATACCACCTAATCAATGGCACT